GGCTACAAGTGTTGCAACTGTCTCACATTTAATTTGCTGCCAGTGTGAATAGTTTAGCTTGTTTTTCCAGCATGTTCATGTCAGTAAATGGTCACACGCCTGATGTGTTAACGCCTTGAAAGAGGAGAAAATCCAGTCCTCAGTAAACCCAGAAATAAGTTTTAGACGGACTAAGTGCGTATGTTTATCCTGGTAGTTGTGTAGAAATGTATGGCCCATTATCAAAGCATCTAATAAGCTCATAAACCACATATGACTCACAAATGAACATACTATGGTTTGAACATTGCTTAAAAAAGCATATTCAAATCCATGTTAAAACAGCAGATGCTTACATTTCGCATGTATCATTCAAATGATTTGAACATGCTAACGTTAGCCTGCTAAGATGTATTCTCGCCGAAGACGTGTGTGGAAACCCAAAGAGGCAATTTCACACAAAACATTTCGCTTACTTCTTTTACCGCAGAGCACCACCTTTGTTTCTAACACAGCCAAGGTGTTTCATTATTTGGCTCCACTGAGGTTTACAATGCAGCTTTTCAGCCGATGAAAAATGTTAGATAAACTAAAACTGCTCTGCGCTGCGTCCTAATTCCTCTCCCAGTGTCAGTGACTGTTTCCATTCATGGTATACAAAGGTGGGAGGGCTAACCTGACAGAGTGAGGTAAAGGTCTGGCCCCTCATCAAAAGACCTCAATTCATTTCCAGCTGATGAGCGGTTTTTTTTCTGCCTTTTTTCTACCGCTTCCCCCCCTGTCGAGCGTTAACAAAGCTCTCATTGGAGAAGGTTTAGCTGGAGAAACACTCCCCGAGCTCCACTCCCCGTTTCACATTTACAACATGCTCTAACCTCTGTAAGGCATGCTTAAGCTCCTTTCATAGATCACTTGTATTTGTTTTCAGTGAGTCAGCAAAGGTGAAGAGAATTTGAAAGGCCTGGTTATGTAATCCACTCCTATAGTCAGTTTGAAAGAACAACATAAGCACGAGTGTATAGGTCAGCAGGATTATAGGACTTTTTAAAAGACATTCAACGGTCTTTTCCACTTTGAAAAGGATTGCAAACTAAACAATAAATGGTTTCTGTGTTTTGTGTATAATCTGACTTCCATTCAAAACCTGGTAGAGAAAATGGCATTTTAAAGACTGTATAGACTGGATTTTCTAATGTTAAAGAATAGTTTATTTTACCCCATCCTGAAAGTCCTGCATCACAGAGATGAGCTACACAAATATGAAATCCTCACGCAGATGAACGAAGAGCAGAATTGATTTACTCCTAAGTGCAAACACAGATGACTCCAAATGGGATTCTCATGGGTTCTCGACAAAATGTGGAAACCATCCAGGTGCACGTCTATAAAGTGTGTGTGTGTGTGTGTGTGTGTGTGTGTGTGTGTGTGTGTGTGTGTGTGTGTGTGTGTGTGTGTGTGTGTGTGTGTGTGTGTCCAACCAACAGGAGGCATGTTTGTGTGTGTGCATTAATGTACATTCTTGCTTGTTTATACATCAACCTCGCTGTTGTGTCCATACATGCCCTGCAGGTCAAGTGTA